GCTGGCACCGCTGCGGAGAATAAGGCCAGCCCCGCGGGGACAGCAGGGGGACCTGGGGCTGGAGCTGCGGCAGGGGGCACGGGACCCGTCGCGGCGCGGGCCGGGGAGCCGGCCGAGCGGCGTGGGGCGGGTGAGGGACGGGTGAGGGTGAGGGCAGCGCCTAGGGCTGGGTCCAGTGGCGGGTGAGGGCAGAGGGTTTGAGGCCGACCTAGCCGGGGCCCCGCATCTCCCACTTCGATGTCTGTTTGCTGGTTCTCCTCCAGCTCCGGTGTCGGCGGGAGGCGCGGCGCCCCCGGAGGGGGCCATGTCTAACGGGGTTTATGTACTGCCGAGCGCGGCCAACGGAGACGTGAAGCCGGTGGTGTCCAGCACGCCTCTGGTGGATTTCCTGATGCAGCTGGAGGATTACACGCCTACGGTGGGCTTCCTGCCTGAACAAGGCTATTGGCGCGCTGTCAGGCCAACTTTCTGCTACACCGCGTGGATTTCCAGCTTCCTTTTGTACTTGCTCCCCTACTAGCTCTTTGATTTATCCCCTCTGCCCACCCAAACTGTGAGCTTCCTAAAAGCCAGGCTTGCCCTCCATTTCCCTCACCCTCTCAGCCCCGCAGCGCCCAGGGCAAATACTGACAGTCATCTCATTGATCTCCCAGATCCCAGACGCAGTGACTGGTTACTACCTGAACCGTGCTGGCTTTGAGGCCTCGGACCCACGCATGTGAGTACAGTCTGGGTGGGTAGGTTAAGAGTCTTGAGTGCTTGTATGGAGTTTATTGTCCCATCTTCTCACACCAGTTTTTTCTCTCTAGAATTCGGCTCATCTCCCTAGCTGCCCAGAAATTCATCTCAGATATTGCCAACGATGCCCTACAGCACTGCAAAATGAAGGGCACAGCTTCTGGCAGCTCCCGAAGCAAGAGCAAGGTGTGAGGGGAGGCTCATTGAATCAGTAATTACCTCCCACAGCATCGGAGGCTTAATTTGTTCTGAAATCCCTTTGGGGAAACTAAGCCCTAGGGGAGGTGAAAGACCTACTCAGGGTCACCCACCTGGGATTGAAATCTGGGATTCCTGTGCTCAGCTGGTGCTCTTCCCTCTTCCCTCAGGACCGCAAGTACACTCTAACCATGGAGGACTTGACCCCTGCCCTCAGCGAGTATGGCATCAATGTGAAGAAGCCGCACTACTTCACCTGAGCCACCCAACCTAAATGTACTTGTCTGTCCCCTTGTCCCCACACCAGCCTGTTTTCATAATAAACTTTATTGTGACAGGCAGGGCTGGTCCCTCCCATGCTGGGAGATACCGTGTGGCAAGTGACAAAGCTCTGAGCCTAGCCCCTTTGGGGGCTGCAGTGGTAGGGATGGGGGCAGGGGATGGGCCCCATGGCTGGGGTAGTACCATGACTGGAGGCAGGGGAGGCAACCAGAGGCCTGCTGCTTTGGGGAGACATACTCCCCTAACCGTGTCCTGACACCTCTGGAGTTTAGGCAAGGGCTTTCCAGCTCTACTTGTCCTGCATCTTCTCCAGGATAGGCACAATCATGTCAAACTTGGGCCGCTTAGCAGGGTCTTCATTCATGCATATCTTCATGAGCTTACACACATGGGGGGAAATGCCTGGTGGGATGGTAGGCCGAAGGCCTTCCAGTGCCACCTGCAAATACAGGAAAAAACAAAATGGGTCTCAGAACTTGAATATCCTGTGGGGAGAGGCCTCTTAGTCCTCAGGACAGTATTACTGTATATTTGAACAAATATGGGAAGAGCCCAGCCCTGCTGTAGTTATTGTCACCACCACCACCATTCCCCCAACACAAGTGCATACAGTTGTGCTCTCACTTTCATTCCAATCTCCATGTTGGAGAGGTCAGCAAATGGTACCTCCCGTGTCACCAGTTCCCACAGAAGCACTGCAAAACTCCACATGTCTGCTGAGCGTCTGTTTGTGTCTTCAGGCTTCTTCTGCAGAGCTGGAGGAACAGGACTTAACTGTTCCAGCTGCCTATCCTGTCTCTGCCCCTTCCATTACTACTGAGCTGGCCCTTCTCTACCTCCCAACATGATGCCCTCACTCACCTTCAGGGGCCACCCAGGCAGGTGCATACATACGCCCAGGGCACTGGAAGGAAAACTTGACGTCGGCCATGCTGATTCGGGCAGTCATGTCCTCATCAATCTGAGGAAGAGAAGATAGATATGTGGAAGGAGGTAAGTCCTATTCTAGACAGGGAAAGGGCTCTGGGGGCCGGGGCCAGGAGTGAAGTGTGACCTCACCATTACACTACGGCTATTGAGTGCATGTCGTGGGATGAGGGGCTCTAATGTATGTAGGAAGGCCATGCCCCTTGCCATGTCCAATGCAAACTTCACAGCCTGGCTCTGGTCCACCACGAAATCTAAGGAGGCAAGAGTCAAATAGTTTGGGGAGGCTCACACACCCTGCCCCCCATCCCATGAGATTTGGTATCCACTACTCACTGGTGCCTTCGTGTAATACATTGTACAGGGATCCATATGGCATCCAATGTGTGATGAGGGTGGGGTGAGGAGCAGGTGGAGACTGACAGGCACCTAGCACTGGGAGCACATTTGGATGCGAGAAAATCCTGGAAGAAGGACAGTATCCCTAGCTGAGATCAGCATAAAAGATCTCCCTTTGGGTGCTAGTCAGGGTTCCTTGGAACCAGCAGCTTCCTGTTTAGGCTTTGCCCCACCTGAGACGGGGACACTCCTCGTTGAAGTCCCTGCTCTTCCTTGTACTCCAGTCTCGAACCTTTAACACCTTCACGACGATGTCATTACCCTGCCAACGGCCCTTCCATAGCTGAGAGACAGGTAAGGGTTAGGAAGCTTTAACTAAGGCCACTGCTTTCTTGTCCACTAACTGGAAGAAAAACTTAAAACAGGTGCAGAGCAGGTAATTTGTAGGAGATTGGGGAGGGAGGGGCAAGAAAGGCAGGGTCACCTCTCCAGAGTGATTCTCGTTGAGCTTCGCCAGAAAGTTGAGCTGTTTGAAGTCAATGCCGGAGTGTTTGTTCAGAGTCCCATTTCCTGAGAGTGTGGGCAGGTCAGGTACCCAAGCTTCACCATAACCCAGCTCCAGCAGCCCAGGGTTATTCCCTTGACCACCCCTCCCCTTACAACTGACTCACGGGGCCGAGTACGGGTGGTTCCCTTCCAGAATGTGTCCTTGTATGGAATACGGTTAAGGTTTTGGCCCATCTTCTCTGCCCGCTCTGGGGAAGAAAAACAGCTTTGGTCCCAGTTGTAGTATGGAGCGAGGAGATAGGCAGGGACAAGACAAGAGGATACAAACTGGAGTTGGGGGACAGACCTCGGAGGAGCTCTCTCAGGGGTGCCTTGGCTTTGTCCACAGGCATCTCTCCATACTTGTTACAAATGCTGACAAGGGCCCCATTAGCCACCAGGTCCTGGAATGAAAAGGGGTTGGATGAGGGGCTCTGCCACCTCCCTGGCAGTCACAACCAACCATCAATACAAGTGGTGTACCAACTCTTGAGTGTCACATATTCAGCAGTACTTACAGGATGGATTGAAGGTTCTAGACTCTTCCATTCAGGCTCAGACTTTGCTTCCTACCCATCCCAGGGCTCAGGGCCTTAGTACTCACCTCTGCAACCTGATCTTGGCCCCAAAAACAGGCATAGTGCAAGGGCACATTTCCATGCTCATTCACTGCATTGATGTCAGCTTTATACTGCAGCAGCTGGTCCCCATGGCCAAGTAGAAGAGGCAGAAGACAAATGAGAGATGGGAGTTGAGGCGTGCAAGGAGGGAGAAGAGTACACATGTGTTATATTGCTTGTGACTGACTTCCAGACATGTATGTAATGTAGGTGAGAGGGAGCATTCATGCCTACCTTCTGCACAATATCACGGTGTCCATGACTGGCTGCCAGGTGCAGGGGGGTGTCATCCCCACGATTCATCACATTGATTCGTGCCCCCCGCATGATAAGCATCTCAACCACAGCAGAACGGCCCTCTCGGCAGGCCCAGTGCAAGGGGGAGAAGCCATGATCATCCCTTTGAGGAAGGGACAATGGTCATTGATCTGGAGGTGGGATGGGGGCAAAGGCTTTGATATGGGAAAAAGTGATAGTTATTCTGAATAATCTCCCTGGAAAACCGTACCTGTCCAGGACTCTGATTCTCATTCATGCCAGCAACTCCCAAAGCCATCCAATTAAGACTTTCCCCTGAGCTTCAAACCTATCCAACCACCACCTGAAATCTCAACAAATCCGTATGATTCACTGTCTTCATCACCATCTCCCACTACCCTTTCTTCCTTGGCATGCCCTATCTCATGAAATGGTAGCATTTTTCATCTGGTTTCCTCTGCATTCCTTTTGCAACATCTGTTGGTCCTTTTTGTTTCCACTGCATTTCACATCCCTCTGGTATACTACTTGTGGCACTGGATTGTAAAAATCTTAATGAGCTGTCTTGTCTGCTAGACTGAGCTTCTTGACAGAATGGATTGACAGCAGGTGTTTAGTGCATGTTAATACAAGGGAGAGGTGTCTTGGAGAAGGAAAGCTACAACTCATGGGAGAAGAAGCAAGCTTACTGATTGGCTCTGGTACTGAAACCTAAGACCTAAAAATGGACTGGAATTAAAATAATGTTTTGGAAGGGTTTATAACGAAAGAGAGAAATGCTTTTGATAAGTCATTACTAATGAGGCAGATATCAAACCAGGATTTGGTAAAACAGGATTCCTCTACTCAAGCAGTCCTGGTCCCAGAAAACAGAGGAAAATGAGAATGGCTTCTTTAGAAAGAAAACTATCTAACTCCCCCACCCCCACCCCCAAGGACATGTATTTTCTAAAGTAAAAGAACTGTACAAAAAAAAAAAAGAAAACACTTGGTGGGAGCTGGGCCTGCCTGACAGCCTGGGGCCATAAAAGGAAATTCCCTCCAGTCGTGTGTATGAAGATCTAAGGGGCGGGGCAGGGGGCGGTCCCTAGTCTGAGACGGCAGCCTCCGGATGCCTTAGTGCTGCGGTCACTTCCCCTGTGGGGGCTCTACGTGTGGCCTGAAACAGATCAGGGGTCTGGCCACTGCAGGCCATCCAGATGTCCCCCTCCCCCAGGGGAATGGGGTGTGTGTGGCCTTTAATGACTTCCCTCCACAGCTGCCCTCATCTGCTCACTTAGAGATAGCCAAAAGCTTTCCTGGGAGGTGGATTACTCCCTCCTCCCCCTCTCTGAAGCAGCCATTCCCTACTTATCAGTGAGTTTTGCCTCCCAGATCTTTAATTTGTGCCCTGGTTTATCAGCCTCCTGCAGTCTGTGGCACGAGCAGGCCAGAGCCTGAGGGCAAAATATGAGCACAAAGGTTCCACTCACTGTCAGAATGCCTGTCACCTCAGGGCCACAGACTATAATCCCGAAGAGCCCTGCAGGGAGTTCACCCCACCTCATATCCAGCATATAGCCTGCTTGGGCCCTCAAAGCCTTCCAGTTTCACTAATGCCACCCCTTCACCTTTTGGCACTAAAGAGTTTTATAAAATGCAAGTTCCCCTGGACAACTTCACCTAAGCCTTTATAACCCTACCAACAAAAATAGTAAGAGTACTCACTGTCTTTATCTGAGCACCCTTTGAAGAATTATGAAAGAATTATGGAAATTATAAAAGAGTACAAAAAATGGGAAAAAGTGACCAGGAATTATGGAGGAAGAGCATAAAGCCTAATGAGAACCTGTGAAGCCTAGATAAAGATTATAGGTGATCCTTACCTCTCAAACCTAAAAACTGAAGAAATAAAATTTTAAAACAAAAAACCCCTAAAACCCACCACCCTGAATCATCAACATCACTATTGCTTTTCTTGCCTGTCTCAGCCAACCCTGAAGAACTTGTCTACATTCACTCTATTTCCTCACCTCCCATTGAACCTGCCACCAGGCTGCTGCCGTGAGGGCTGGCATTATGTCTGATTCTGGGCCTTTAGCACAGGAGGTGTTCATAGTACTTTAAGTGAAGGAACCCGGTGTTGTCTGGTTTCTTCATCCATTTTCCTCTACGGCAGCCTTCACAAAGATCATCAAATACATTATTAATTGTAAGTTCAATAGTTACTTTAAAGTGCTCAAGTTCTTTGACTTCTCAACAGCCTATACTACTGTTGACCACTCCCCCTTCATTGAAACATTCACTTCTCTGAGCTTTACTAACATATTTTCCTGTTTCCTGCAACCTCCAGCTGCACCTTTTTAGTCTTGCAGGCTTCTGTCTCTGTCACACCCGTGTCTTCAGGTATCATC